CAGGAGACTTGAAGTGATAAGAACTGCAAATGCTGCCCTGGCAAGTCGTTACAGGACCCAATGTGAAAAGCGAAGATTTAGTGTAACCCTTGGATGTGGTCTTGGTCAATCGTTTGTTGTTTTTCACAGAAAGTGTTATTCGAAGATCTGTCTCCACCTGTCACGGAACGCATATCTTGACTGACTGGATCTTCTAATGGGCCAAGTTTGAACCTAATGTCTTTTCATCTGAAAACTTCTACCTTCGCGAACTTGCGATTTGATCAGCTTTAAGCTCGGTGAGAACAGGTTATGGATGGCGCCGAGCTGCCTGAAGGACTTGTGACAGATTTTGCTTATCCCCTTGATTTTCTTGCAACGTCAGTTTGTTCTCTTTCTCAAACACTTTCCCTGGCCTGTACCCTACAGGGAAAAATCGCTGAAATCCCCCTTCGATTGAAATTAATTCCTTGACCATTGCAGTGCAAAGCGAATTTCAATAACACATCTGCAAAACCGAGAACCTGCAGGAAGGGCTGCGACAAAGGGTTTCAATCCCATTCCTAGATCAGCGGGGCAGATCTGATTGAGAAGGTGCGTGACAGGCCACATAAACCCAGACTCCCTACTGGACGCCGAGGACCTCGGAAGCAGGCACAGCGAGTGACAGGCGCTGTAGCCCTTGGCTTCGGCGGACAGTAGAAGACCCTCCCCGGGTTTCCTAACACCGGTACCTTACCAGGTACACACGTCCACCCTCATTGAACTCGTTAACACTTTTTGGCCTCGTGCTACTGATCTCATCTGACCTGGTCATAGCTACGGTCGGGTCCTGTCCACGGTATATTGAGGGGTTAAGACCCCTAGGGAAGGAAATACGAAGGCCGTGTCAATTGAGCCGAACATCAAACTATGGGAGCATGTGTACTCAAGACTCCCAAGTTTTCTACATTGTGAAAATAACAGAACTTTTAGGTTGTCTCCCGCTACTCATAGATACCTTGAGACACCATCGAAAGGCATTCCACGATGCAGACCCCAAATTCGAATCTCAGGGTCGAAGTCCCCAGCCAGAAGAGGCCAGGCCGGCCTGTTTCAGGAAGGTCGCGTCGGGTACACCAGAGGTCAAGTCCAACAGGTACCCGGTCAACAGTCGCATCCAAAATGCAGAAGTCACATCCCATAGGCAAAAAGTCATGTCTCATAGTCAGAAGTCGTGTCCCACAGGCAAAAGTCACATCTCGCAGTCAAAAGTCATATTCCACAGGCAAGGGTCACGACCAACAGGCAAAGNCATAGTCAGAAGTCGTGTCCCACAGGCAAAAGTCACATCTCGCAGTCAAAAGTCATATTCCACAGGCAAGGGTCACGACCAACAGGCAAAGGTCATGTCCCACAGACCCAAAGCAGCAGCACACCAAGGGAGATTCAGGAAGGTACCGGGCCTCAACATTCTGAAGCAGACAGGCCCGCGGGCAGCCGATACAGAGTCCAAGTCAAGCCAAGAGAAGCAGAGGCTGGGACGAGTCAAGGCTCGGTCCAAGTCAAAATAAGGACTGGCCAGCCACATTTCGGACAGATTGCTCATTCGCAAGAAGTGTGGAAGTGCTGCTGAGGCGCTTGTGCGTTATCTGCAAATAGCTAGCGCTGGGCTGAGGAAGGAAGGCGGCCATAGCCACACAGCTTGGTAGTAGGGAGTAGAGCTGAGTAGTAGCGGATGTATTCAGAGTCAAGGTCTTCAAGTAGAGAGAGAAAGGGGAGAGCGATAGAGAGAGGGAGAGAGTGAGCACATGCACGAAGAGGGCAGAGAGAGAGAAGTGATGCAGAGAGAAGAGAGAGAGTCACCTACCTTGTATGAGGATGCTGGATATTAACTGCTGAACTCTGCGCTGTTGAGCGCTTGGCGACTGGAACTCCAAAACTGTTCAATATGATAATTCGTTGGATTCTCTAAGCTGCACTATTCTGGACTTGGCATCTCTGGTCTCCAGTGTGGATTTCGTGTGATCTCTCAATGTGTGTGTGTGCTGAAGGTGACGAGCATTGTGGTTCAACGCACCGTGCTCTTTGAATCCTTTTCTCTGTTATTTCAAAAGGACGATGGGCCCAGTTTCCAGCAGGTGATGCTCCCCACCAATAAATGGCACGGTTCCCTTTTTAACAAGGGGGACAGAAAAGAAAAGAAAAGAAAACAACAGGACTGTGTTCCACACCAAAAAGCCGCACCGTATGGCATGTGTCTGCAACAGAACAGAGGTGTCCGATACGAAACTGACGTGATTTCGATTGGAAACAGAGACGTATGTGCATGTGCCACCGAAACCAACATCGGGACTGGATTTTAGGTGCCCTAGACATCTGCATAGAACTCTGGCATCTAAGTGGTAATCGGTACAAGTTTGTTTTTCTTTGTTCTTTAGACTTTTTTTCCCTTTTGGGGGATTTCAATGCCACTGCAACTGGCACTCCGAGTCCTGGCAGGCAAATCAACAGGTCAACTGCAAATTTGTCAGTGTGTGACTTACCTGTACATAGTGGTAAAACCCTGAACACACAAACGCGACAATGCACCGTCGGCTGTCCTCTCCACTGCCACGAGCATTTCCCATCGCTTGTCCCGGGTATCAATCAAAGAACTTCCTGCACAGCAAAAAACAATCCCAGCCACAACGATCGTTAAACCGAGCCTAGTCTCACAACTGCCACGCTTCCTGAGCTTAAGCCTACAACACCAGCAGCAAGACAAGGCAAATGCAAGGCACGGCAACACAAGGCAAAGGCAAGGCAAGGCAAGGCAAGGCAAGGCAAGGCAAGGCAAGGCAAGGCAAGGCAAGGCAAGGCAAAGGCAAGGCAAGGCAAGGCCAGG